CTTGCAGGGTATTTTTTGATTATCACTGATTCTTATTCAGCTCTCAGCAGTAAGCAGTGAGTCTGAGCAATCAAACTGACTACAAAATCCATAAATCTCCATGTAATCTCAGAATAACTGCTGCAAAGGGGTTATGGCTAGAGTCAGTGAGTAACTGTATGCAGGAATCTATTTCTTCATACTGTAAATTTGCCTTTTAAGCAGTAACTGGTGTCTTTGTAAGTCTTTGGTCTTCATCTGCTTTCCTTTACCCTCACATCAAGCAAGTTTCTATATTATTAACATATATAAATAGATCCTATGTTTTATTACCACCCTTCTGCCAAAACAGAGTAGTGGAGTACATGCCTGAGATACAAAGAGATGCTTCTAGACAAATAGCCTAGGCCTTACCTAAAACTATAAAGATGTTTGTGTAGGTTCAGCAGTCTGGTGAGCTGAACGTCAAGCTTTGCCACTGCCTAAAATATCCCTTCCTCTGTTTACATCCTCTCTTGATTGTGTTCTCCTGCCATTTAACTTGTGCCAGCACTAAGGGCCCACTGGACCTCTCCAAGAGTCTATTCAATTCAACTGGTGGAAAAACTACCCAACTGTACAGTTTTTTCTTATTAAATGATCTAATAAGCTACCACCACATGGTAGGTAGGAGCAGAGGTAAGGAGGAGACGCTAAAGGTAGGGGAGAGGGTAGCAAGCAAGATTTTCCTCTTTTCATGGCAGGGAATTACAAGACTGGCTGATTTGCACATGGAGCTGCAGGTCTAACAGATCTTTCTTGGGGCAAAATATCCAGCAGTCACGGTTATTAACACACTGATTAAATTTACAGACTAAGGATCTAAACTGGAATGTATACCAACTATACATATATATGGGCTGTACCTCCTGTAAGAGAAGTAAACTCATTGCTTGTGTATTCCAGATACTTGTTGCTCTTACATAAGGACAACATATTAAATGACATGAACAATAATGAGAAGCAAAACAAAAATGGGAGTCTCCCTAAAACTTTTCTGCTGTTAACATCAGCTGTTTTGCTTCACAAGGATTTGCAGAACCTTCCCTGCAAGCCTGCCCTCACTGTGAGCCAAGGTCAGAGAGCTGAGCCAAAGCAGAATTAAGATGTGAATCTTTGTTATGTGGAGCACTCTGTGGAACAAAACTATGGTGTCATTGGTGGTATCAGTGCTCTATGAATGGGAAAAGGGGAGAGAGTCTGGGGTTTACTATGCTGGGATTAATTTAAACTTCAGTAGTATTGAATCTTCCAGTCTGCAGAGCAGCAGTGAAATGTATTTCTTCTACTTTTTTGACTCTATGCCGGTCTTCCCCGTTCACTACATATAGGACCACACACAGGATAAGACACTGTGAACCTAATTGCAATATGGATTGAATTCAGGGTGAAGTAAAAAATCCTGGATGGTGCAGCTGAGCAGGATTTCTCCAGTACGGTTTAACTACATGTTTTGCTTGAATATTTACATTGCTATTAATGCCTATTGTTCATAAAGATTTTATCCAATTTTTGAAGTTAGTGAGAATTTATGGCCCTTAGCATAATTCTAATATGCTGGAAAATAAAAAAGAAATCAAAGAGTTGACCATAAACATTGAAAATTGCATATAGGCTTGCACTGGGAAGATGACAGACATGATTACAAGGACTTGGCTATCAGTTAATTTAGAAATGAGCTGTTTGAGCTTATTTTTCCTGTGAGCTCATTTATCACTGAAATGGTTGCTAGGATGCTGTGCTTTGAAATTTGAAACTTGCTCTAGAAAAGAGCAATTGTGAAGTTTTTTAAACTAATTTTCTTCTTGGCAGCCTCTATACAGTGGAATTAACGATGCAAAATGGTTTTATTATATCAAGACCTGATCTGAAGAGCGCTTATATCTAGACTTAACTTTATTCACAGTTTCAGAATGATTCATGTTAGATCTCTGAGTGAAGTTAAGCATGCATAAAATGGATCTATTCAGCTGGCCTTAAATTCCTGCTAACATTCTTAGTCTAATATTTTCTTCCTGGTCAGCTCCTGGCAATTATCTGTCCAGGTCACTACTTAGGCCACAGAAATCATTCTTTAGTGGTCACTATCTTTCACTACTGAACAAACACAGAGACTTGTGTAAAATGGAAGCTGTGTGAATATGAGCCAGGTTGCTTAAAACCCCAGTGAGATATGAATGGTGCACATTACATGCCTGCACGGCACATTGGCTAAGCCCTTTCAAATCCTAGTCTCTGGCAATTTTTAGCAAGTCTTGTGACATTTCTCTCGCCTTTTCTGTGTCCGGGTATCTTTAAACACTTACAGTCTACTCCAGATGATGCAGATGAAACTCAGATTGTTGCTGCAAGCACTAAAGATTGCTCTTGCCAATCATGGCTGCCGTGCTTTGGCAGAAGTGATCCCCACAGGACGTTGCCTCATACAGAGCAGGAGAGCAGCTGGCTGCTGTGGGGAGCATCCAGGCAAGCAGTCCTGGGTGAGTGGGAGGAGCAGGGATAGGCAAGTCGGTACATAGCCCTTAATCCCTGCAGTGGGAGCAGCCACTGGAAAGAACAGACCTGGGAATCCCAAATAGGAAATCGATACTAAATTTGTATGTCACAAAGAGGAGATTTGTAGCTTTCTGTTAAGAATTCTGAAATATGTACATATACCTGCAAGTATAAATACCAACTGGATATTTCTGATCTTAGAGGTAATTGTCTGCTGCAGTTATCTGAATATTATGCACTGAAGCATCTTTCTTGTGAGTTTGGGACCCAGAAGGCCTAACTCTATCCACTTACATCCTTTTCCTGAGTAACTAATTTGTGCCAGGGAAATTATTCCTGATTTGCAATAGTCTTGGCTTAATTTCTGACGTGTCAGGATGTGACCAGGTAAGTCAGTAGGCATGTAGGCACAGAGATGTGGTGGAATCCTGATTCAAAAGATGTCAGGAATCACGTTCATTGCACTCTAGCTGTGATTGAGAAAAGTATTTACTGCTTCAGAAATGTTTATTACATTCTATTGTCATGAAAGAAACCACAGAGCATAGGGAAAAAGCCAGCTTCTTGGAACATCTGGGAAAAGCAGATGAACAGAAGGCTGATCCGCCAGAGTACACAGGAGGCAGAGTGATCTGCCTGCCCTTTGCTGATATCTCTTCATCTCTGTGCAGTATCAGTTTTGGTGCAGTAAATGAGTAAAACTTGTCCACTTGACCTGAATACTTGGGGCCCTTGTGTGATTTTGGGGCTGCAGGAAGGACGAATTGACTCTGAGACAGTGGGGAAAATGTGAGGATGAAGCCCCCTCATGAGCTTGAAGGGGAAAAATAATGTTGGGCTGGAGGGAGAGCATGGTTATTTGATGTGCTGAGGTAACTGGGGGAGCAGGGTGTGAGGACAGAGAGGGTTACTTTATTCTAGTGTGAGACTCTTCAAGGGTGTATGATCTCCATATCATGAAGCAACCATTAATACAAATATTTATAAACTGGATTCAATCAAGTCTTATAGCAACAAAGCAGTAAAGCTAGCAATAAAGCTCTGACTAAAATCCTCCCACTACGAATCTGCGAGAATTTGGCAACCATGCAAATGCCACCCATACAGCTGGTGGTTGTGGGCCCAGAAACAGGGCATGCCAAAAACCACAGGACAATATTTTCAAACAATAAAGACACTCTGCTATGGTCCCTCCTCTGCTGATGGGATTACTGTGGCTCTCCAGCTGGCTGTATTATCTTTGCAATCCTCCTTTGAACATACCAGCTCCCTGTGTACTCTCTCCATTGTATGCAGAGACCTACTCCAAAGCCAGCGGCAGGGAACCCATGGTTTCCTGATGTCCGCTAGCCAGATTTATTGGCTTGCCAGAGGCTTTGCAGCACAGGCTGCCTGAAGCAGGGCCTGAGGATGTTGGTGTGCTGGCAAGGAAAGAGCATGAGCAACATGTCTCCGGGCAAACAGAGGTGGGAGTTTGTGTGGATGGCAAGCATCTATCATGGGAGGGTGCAGGCAAGTGTTGTGCTCTTTTCTTGCTCAGGATAACCTGGGAGTCTCATTTAGAAAACAGCAGCCCTAGACAGAAAACTAAAATGCAGTGCATGAGACAGCTGAGGTTCTGTGCAAGGTGTTGGATCACTTCTGTGGCATTTTTCTGTATGTGTACAAATTAATGGGTTTGGATGGGGGAAAAAAACCCAAAGGATCTGAATACTGAATAAACACTAACACTTCAAACAAATCTATAATTTTCATTGCTGTATATATGCCTCTAACTTGCTAATGCGGCTGCTGCTGTCAAATTTTGTAAATTGCCTCAAAGTTATCATAACAACACTCATTTCTTTCATATAAGGCAATGTAAGAAGGACTCTTTCTTTACAAAAATAACTAAGGATGGAGGATAAAATAGACAACTTGTATACAGATATTTCTGGCTAAAGGAACTGGATTATATGAGAAATTTTGGTCTATAAAAATAACAGAGTTTGTCAACTGTTCCCATCCATCTCGTCCCTGTCCTGTGTCAGCAGGGGGAAGTAGTAACTAAGACCTTCTGTGGCTTAGATACTAAGTGCGTACGCTGGAGTATTTTTGCCTGCTCTCCTTTCTTTCCCTCTTTGACATCAGTAAGAAGTTTTATTTATACACTGCTACAAGATATTACATCTACTGTGGAAAATTACTGACAACTGCTTTGTCAGTGGCGCTTATGTCCAAGTAAATCTGCTTCCTTTTACAACATTTCTGATCATCTGGATAATAATATTGCAGGTGCTGCTCAGATTTCTGCTGGCTGCAAGATATTAATATTGTTTCAATTAGTCTGGTTGCTGTAACAGCAGATTTCTAAAAATTGCAGTGATGGTGGCTTGGAGGCATGCAGTGTGAGCAAGGACACCTCTTGTTCCCCATCCAGATCCCAGGCTGTGACTCCAAACCCTGTGCCTGCTTGGAGCAGAGCTAGTTTAGCCCCACCCTCTGAGAAGTCCAGCCTTTATTTATATGAAATCTGTGGTCCAACTGGCTTCAGATGGCGTGTGTATGTGCGTGTGCCTGCCTTCTGAGTGTGTGAGACGAGCTGGGATCATGAGCCAGGGTTGTTCCAAGTGGTTTTAATCAGCAGCCCATTAGAGGAGAACGGAAAACTTCCAACAGGATAAGAACCGAGTAAGTAAACGTAACTTTGAACTTGCAATCTGGACAGAGCAAATGCAAACTAAAATCTTCATAGTCTGTCAGTTTTCAGATAAATGATCACTTTTAGAGAGAAAGCGGTGTATGCCGACAGGAAGGAGGCAATTTAAAAGGACTGGAATGAAGGAAACTGTAAAAACAAAGTGGGAATTGAGAATGCAAGAGAGAAAAAAAAACAGCAAACGATTGTTCACAAAGTTGGTACACTCTCATACTCTTTTCAGCTGTGGACAGGATGTGTTTAGCTTTAACCTCTTGCTTTCTTGGATGCTATCGTGTGGCTGTGTAGTTCCTCCTGCAACGTGGGTGAAGATTCCTGCTCCTCACCTGTCTGCCAACAGGTCTGTTCTCCCGACAGCGCGGTGTGGAAGAGCTGGCTGTGGCTCCTTGCAGAACACCCCATGGCACGCTGCTCTTCGCTGCTGCTGACTTCTTGTTTTTTTCACAGGTTGTTCCTGTACCCCCATGGGACAGAATTTCCTGAGCCTCTGCTCCTCTGGAACCTGTAACTTCATGCCAGGCACCACGAAAGCGCTCAGCAGCAGAAATGGGCAAGACTCTTGCTAGTTTTGGGTAAAGTCTGCCTTTGATAAGTCGCAGCTACTTGGATTGCATCTGCAATGTGGCAAAGGGCGAAGTGAGGGCAGCGAAGAGGCCATGGTTTGTGGGCAAGTCCCCAGGTGCCGCAGGCTTTGTCGCCCTCGTCCCTTCCTTCTGGCCTTAGTGGTGGCCATCTGTCTGTTCTGCCAGACCCTGTCTCCTCTCATGACCAGCAGCATCCTTTCGACAGTTGTTAATGGGATCACACCCAACAAACTGACCAAATCACAGCAGGGAAGATACAAGGAGGTCTCCCCAAGCAACATTTACTGCTTCCTCCCTAGCACTAACTCACAGACAGTGAAAAAGGTAAGTCAGCTGGAGCATAGCGCTGAGCAATAATTAGCAAAGCAATGGATAGCGAGTCTGGCAGGATCATCTGAGTCCATCATCTAAAATTAGCCTAAGCTTGGAAGTCTGAGATCTGTATACAAACAAATGGGTGATATAATGACAGCAGCATATGCGCAAGCACATCGCTATTACCAGCTCCTTGGTCTGGTGTCATTAACACAGAAATCTTGAAATCTTCTACTGAAATATGGCATTGCTCTGTGACTCCCGGGGGATTGCAGTTTGCTGCACAGACCATATTTTATTTTGGCTTTAGGTATTGGTTCAGAGGCTTTACAGTACAGGCATGTAAATCAGGAGTCAGTGGGGTTTCATGAGAGTGACTGGGGCTGTTAGCTAGCACCAGGACTGCAGCTGCCCTGTGTTAAAGTTATCTCCTGGTCTGTTTTGAACTTCACTGGGATTCTCCTGAGAAGCTGCACTTGAGAAGTAGAAAAGACACTTTTCACATTTTCAAATCTCACTATTTACTTTGGAATCTTTGTCCCACAAATTTAACTTCGTCCTTAGGTTACCTGACCTCATGTTTATTTTATACAGGGTTCCTAGAATGAGTGTTAAAAGCCAACAAATGTAGACACTGTTATTTTAGTTGGAAAATGTGGTCTGTTAAATGGTCCAGACTGAGGTAGTTATTTTTACTCTGGAATCTGTGATCAGCACTAGCACAAATGTTTCGGGTTTTCTTCAATCCTGTAAGGAGCTGCTAATAGTGCAGGAGATAGCACACTGTGAAATTATCATTATACTGTCATTTTATATACAACTGTATGAGGACTGTAAACATTAATCTGATAACTTCACAGGTTATGGACAGCATCCACACGAAGCAGTTAAAATTTAAAAATATATTAGAAGACTGCTTCTTTGATAAGACAGGGTTCACAGCCTGGAAAGTCAGTAATATTGATTTTAGGAGACCAGTTGTAAAGTGCACCTTCTGCAAAGTCAAAAAGAGATATGTGAAATAACTATGGCATGAACTTTTTAAGCTTAAATCTTAAAAAATGGATTTTTTTTTCTAGCAAAGGTCAGAGAGATTTATCTTAGAGTTGCAGAAATCTACTCAATGCTGCATTTGTCATAATTTTACATTTTAATGACCTTTTAGTACACTAGGTACCAAGATTTGGATTTGTTCAACAATGTGACATGAAGAATTACAATTTAAAGGGCAGTAAGCACAGCTGACAGATGCAGGTCCTATTGTGTTACAGCTTTTGACACTTAGAGCCCATTTCTTTTTACTTGTTGCTATTGTAACAGCAAAGAACATTTCACATCTTTCCTTGGGCTACCTAAAGACTGTAAGAACTTGTGAAATAATAGCAAGTGTGCTGTTTGGCTGAAAGTATTTGTAATTTCTTCTTTCCCAATTTTCATGAGAAAAAATATGGATTAACACAGAACTTGGCATGCTCTCTGTTTGAAATGAGAAGGAAACTCCTGTTTTTACAACATGCAGTACTTTCTGCCCTCCAGCATACATGGTGGGATGTGACTATCACACGCACATGCTGAACCTATATTACAGATGTCAATGCATATGTTAACCCTTTATAGGTGTGTTTTCCAGGGCTGTGCTGCTCTAACACATTCCTCTTCAAGTTCTGAAGACCACCCATAGCTGGCTCCTTGTTTGTCTTGAAAGTTTCCCCTAGAGCATGATGTACAAAATGTCTTGCACATGTTGGGATGTTACTCTAAGTTTCCAGAGGATACTCTGCTGGTTGTGTGGGCTGAATAGTAGTCTCAGGGGACAGAAAAGACAAGTATCGCCGACAATCTCCACCGCTTTGCTTTGAAAGTGTGCTCTTGAGCTGTGTGTTTTCGCCCACTGCTCATTCAAATAGCTGAACTGTTGTTACCTTGCTTGATTGTATTGGGTACCTGATAACATCTAAGACAGATGTCATGGTCGAAACTTTACACTGCTTTATTTTACTGCCACGTGCCCAGCCACAGTAGCTAGTTTGGAAAACAAGTTTTCATTAAAGCTCTGGTTTAAATCTTTGTGTATGAACCTGGAAAAATACTTTTAAATATGGTCCAAATTATTCACATTTTTAAATAACTACTTATTCTGTAAATAGTCCAGCAAGCAAACTTGTTTTAACAGAAAAAATCATTTATGCAGTTAAACAGTGACTTAAAGCAAGCACTGCAGTGGGTCTTCTGAAATCAAAGTTCATGAATAATTTTAAGGAAAAGAAGACCCTGCTGGAGATAATATTCTTTAGATAACACTTGGTGTTTCTGGGTTCTGAGCCACAGTATCTGTCACACTGCAGAATGTCTTCTGACTGGGTAGGGGCAGGTTTAATTCTTACTTCCTTCAGAGAAACAGTCAGTATTGTGTTGAGCATGCTGCGAGGCTTTGGTTATGATATTGTTATTGCATGAGCAAAATCCCCTTCCAAAGTCTGATATTTTCTCTATAGCAGCTTTTATGAGCCATTGGGGAAGCAGAGGGAGAAATCTGAGGAAAAGTACAGCTTTGCCATTGCATCTCTGATCTCAAAATTCGTCTCATTTCGGTAAGGAAAGTTCCAGACAAATGTGGAAAAAGTATGGGGCTGGAAATTACCAGTTTGGTCTGTAAGTGTGTCTTTATATCCAAGATGCCCTGGGATGGAGCCATTGCAAGCCGTCTTTTTGAAATTGCAAAAATTGCAGATTTCATTCATAGCCTGGAAAACCTGACAGCTCATAGTACTTCTCTCAGGTACCACACATTACAGGAGTTTTAAAAGCTGCTGGAAAGCCAGTCCTGTAGCCTTGTTTTCATGTGAACAGAGGTCAACATTTTCTAGTATAAAATGAAATATTAACACCTGTAGCATGAAAAATAGAAGGCTTATTTTTGAATCTCCGACATTAAAGGCATTAGAGGGTGATATCACATCCAGCAGCAGGCTGTCTTCAGGTTCAGCCAGGCACGCTCACCTCCTGTATGATGAAATATTTGCAGACACATATAGTGAGCAGAAGAGCTGGTGCATCAAATTGAAATAGGTGTCAACAAAAAAGCTCCTTGAAAACCTTGCGTGTAGATTTGCCTAGCAGGGTATTGTGCCAAAAATACTTTTGGTACCAGCCAGATGTAAAAACATTCCATTCAAGTAATCTAGCTCTACTTCTCAGCCAGCTCTGAGGAGTAAATTAGCTGGTTACACTGTGTTTCCACTCTCTGAATTAATTCAACCAGAGCCAGCTTAGATGTCTCTGCCCAGCAGTGCATTTTGCCCAGGTAGAAGTAGGACCTCTGCTATGGGGAGAAAGAAGTAAGACAGTATTGCTCATGTGGTAGGCACTGTTTCAGCATACTAGCTTTCTAACCATAGGCAATGTATAAAAAAAAATCAGATTTTTAAATTTTAAGATGGGTCCTGAGAGAGATTATACCATGGATACTCACAAGGGCCTTGCTTCACATCCCCTGACTAAGGCCACTGAGAAAAGGAAAATAAACAGGACATGCAGCTGATTATATGAGAATTCAATGGGTGGGTGAGGCTGGCATCTTCATACATAAAATGTCACACGTATGGTGAAAGAAAGCAATCTTCACTTTCAAGACCCTCAAGCTGCCACTTATGTTTGGTATAAAAGATGTATCTCAAGAGGAGCTATAATGAGGTGAGCACACAGGAAAAATGAGAAAAGGTTTTTTTACAGCTTCCTTCTGAACAAATAGGATAGGATACCATTTACTGGGAGTGGACAGTATGGAAGATGCAAGATAATGACAGCTTGATGTGGCCATATCTCAGATATGCTATGTAGAAAAACGAAAAGAAGAAAAAGAGAGGGAGAAACATCATGCTTTAGTCCTAAACAAGACTTGGAGGAAGATGCAGCTGAACATCTTGCACAGGTTACAGGTCCAGGTACCTATATTTTGTAAATTGGGAGGGAAATTACTAAAAAGATGAGAAATTGTTACTAGGCAATTAGAACGCTGACCAGCCAGAGTGGAATTATCCTCTCTTTACTTGAGTGCTCCACTGTATCTTGTCAGACCCAGAAAGTTGGACTTCATAGTCAGTAGAAATAACCGCCTCTAATGCTAAATTCATCATGACTTGTATGCAGACATTTAAACCAAATGTGATTAACTTCACCCTCTAAACATATATGTTTGGAGTTTTTTTCTTTGATTTTTTTTTTTGATGAAATATGACTGTTTCAGTCAGTATAAGCAGGGAATGAAGGGGGCAAGAGAAGGCTGTCATGGAAGAAGGCACGGGGAAAGGAGGTGGTGTGGGAGGCAGAGTAGGGAACTATGACTGCAAGTAATCATAGAATCATAGAATAGTATCCTCAGAAGGCACAGAAGAGATTGTGCACAGAGGGGTCTGGACTTGTGCAGGGGAAGAGAAAGGGAGATGGGAATGGAAGTGGAAAGAAAAGAAGACAAAGCTAATGGGAACTTTTGAAATGTAAATATGTGAAAAAGGAGAAATGAAGCTGGATGATAGAATGACAAAGGGTGATTTTTGCTATTATGCAGAAATGCAGTGTGGTGAGAGTTCTGAATAGAAAAGAGTACTTCATGCATAATAACGTCTGATACATTTTTGAAGTAAATTAAATCTTTAAAGATTATTTATTTTATAGAATACAGTAGGGGAATGAGAACTCTTTTCTTACAAAACAAAGAACTTTGATAGTATGAAACCTTTGCTAATAGAAAGCAATTGTCAGATGGTATGGTATCAGCAACTGGTTTCCTTGGAATGAAACCCTACAAAAGCAAGACTTTTTTTTCTTACTTTTCAATGTAAAATGCAAAAGGCTCTGAGGAAACAGCTATTTTTATGAAGCAGATAGCTAAAGATGTTTTGGTGATAAAGGGCAGGGTTATTGTGGTAGCAGTCAGGAAAGAGGGACAGGGTGGAGACTTTCTGCAGGAAGGGAACTTTGAGAAGGATGCTTCGGCAGCAAATGGGAAA